AGTTCTCCTTTTCCGCGGCCAGCAACTCGGCTTGCTCGCGGAACATCTCCTCAGAGCGCTCCAGGGCAGCCTTCAACTTTCGAGAGCTCACAGCAAGAGCAGCTTTCTCCTGCTCCAACTCTTTAACGCGGTTAGAGTCTGCCCCCTCCTTAGCTAGGACAACGGCCATCTCGGCCATCTTGACCATCCCGACCATGTTGGTGGCCAGATGCTTTCTCTGACTTTCTTTACTTAGCCGCCTAATGGTATCAGCTTCATCGGAGCTTACAGTCAAGGGAAACCCCTCGAAGAAGCCCTCCTCTTTAAAACAGGGGGCAACCCAAAGGACCTCACCGCGCTAGACTCATCGTCGACTTCCGGCTGGCTCTCTACTCGGTTCCTCTTCCTCGGTATCAGATCGACATGCTGCTCAACATCTTGGGAATCCGGGGACCCTCCAGAAGCATCACCTGAACTAGTTGGCGGGCCCATCCTCGTCGCCTGAGGAGCTCGCACCACTCTTTTGTTGACTTTCTTATCCTGTGTCAACTTTAGAAGCCTCTCCTTTCGTCCGGCCATATGACCTGCAAAAAAGAAAACTCGGGTTAGTTACGAGCAAGTAACAAACGAAGAAATTAGAACAAGACTACAAGACAAGAAGCAACCTAGCAGGTTTGCGGCCTGCCCGTAGGACTGGCACTCCACAAGCGCCTTTGTATCTATAGGACGGGCCTCGAAGGTCGGGTAACCATCCTCGTCGAGAATGTCCTTTCCCTCCCTCGTGGCCCACCGAGCAGGAAAGAAACTGTCGACATATCTGCAGAGGATACCATAGGCCTCCTCGTCTTTAGTGCTCATCCATTCCGCGGGCGTATGGTAATGTCCGGTGCCATGCTCATAATGGCGCGAGCTCCAATGCAAGGGAAACTTAGTTACGCACCCCAACACCGGGCGACCCTCATCATCGATAAGAGGCTCCCAATTATCATCGGTCACTGTAGTCTCTTCTTCATACACAGAATCTAGGGCAGTCTGGGTGATCGGTCGCACGATATACCATTTGTCCTTGAAACCCCTGACAGAATCCATATACATCCTGAACAGCCTCTTCGACTGTTTCAGGGAAACCCAACCGTGCCTACCTCCCCGAGACTGGCGTTGTAAATGAAAGACTCTGAAGAAGAGAGGTATGGTCGCCCCAATCCTTAAAAAACGACACGTCAGCTCGAATGCCCGAAGAAAGGCAGTCGAGTTAGGGTGAAGCTGCGAGGGGGCCAGCTCCAAATGACTGAAGACCCCGACCTGAAAATCACTAAAGGGGAGCTTTAGACCGAGGTCCTTAAACGCGATCTCATACATGGGAAACCCATACTCGGAGAACTCCGAGCAGATCCGCGCGTTAAGAGACGGTCTGGTGACGACAAAAATTTTCTGGAAGCCCGGCTGACTACCGCCCTGCTCGGAGATAGTGTACGCGCTCTGACTGCGCCGACTATAAGCAGAAGCAATCCCTCTGGGCTCGGCGCCCATCCACTCTAGCAAAGGATCATCAATGGTATCGATCATAGTCACATTTTCCTCGGCGCTTTGGTCTTCCACCTCGTTGCGCCCCGAGGAACACGGTTCATCATCCATTTTACCTGCAAAGCACAGGAAACCGGTCAATTTGGGAGCAAATCCATACGCTCGCGATAACTGACGGGAAGAAGGGCAAGAAAAGCCAAATCATACTCCACACACGATTAAAACGTTGAGGATTCGAACAAGAGTCTGGTGTCACCTCCCCGACGCCAAGGTGCCACGACGAGTCGTCCTACATACTGCCTAAATGGGCCAACATTCCGGCCAGTCACGAGTACGTCGACCTAAACTATGGATATGACGAGTAACATCATGAATCCTAAACCTAGAACTATGAGTTCATCAGGCAATATCATGAGTTAGGCGCCCAGAACCATGAAGATCCCGGGCAGCATTGCGAGTCACATGCCTAAAACTATGTGTTTACCGGGCACAAACATGCATTCACCGGGCATAAACATGAATATGCCGGGCAGGAATACGAATATACCGGGGCTAATCCCAGACGCGGATTTTCTAACATACAAATAACGGAAAAAACTACCTACAACGGAGAAAAATATGAGGGGTAGACGCTTACTTGGAAGGATGTACGGCGGTAGGAAAGAAATCGACGGCAGAAAGCACGGTGGTCCTATGGAATTCTGGAAAAACAGCGGCGGAAAAGGCAGAGCAAGGAGGAGAAGCGCGAAGAGGAAAAACGGATTATGGGATCCAATGATCCTATTTATAGGGATGACGTGGAATATGAAACGTCACCCCGGGGAACCACGAGCTTCCCCTCCTCGACGTCTACCCCCCTAGGCAATGATGACTCTACTTTCACTAGGGGGCGTCACGGTTCCCAAGAGTTACCTCGTATACTCAACGAGCACAACCTGCAAAGAGTCCCCCGAGCACGCCTCGAAAGGGATTATCTCACGAACGTGACACGGGAGAAACTCCTCGAGCAACCACGGGGAACCAAATATCCTGGCCGAGCATAAGGCCCCGTGACAAAGGCGAGCTGAGATCAAGTCATAACTCCTGCTCCATGAGCCACGACTTGGGGGGCTCCTGTTCTGGACTGGGCCCACCTTGGCCCAAGAGCAGGAACGAAGGCCCAATCCAAACAACTCTACAAGGAGCGCGTCGACCAGAAGCTACAGTCGTGCCCGCCGTTGCCCGCGAGCACGACGTCCTCGACCACATGCAATCCAGCTCGAGTCCAGCTCGAGCACCCTCCTCGTAGGGCAGACTATGACCGTTACACCATCACCTGAACTCCGGAAAGACCGCGTCCTCGTCCGTCCGTACTTCTCGCTGAGCATCACCAGGAAGGGGACCACGTGCGGGTCCCCACTACACACGTAGAACCTGGCAGTTCCTTTATTGGGCCAGTCCTAGTCGGCCCAATAAAGGGACTTTGGCCCCGCGCTGGGGGCTATAAATACCCTCTATTCCTAGAGGGTCAGGTATTCATTCTCTTACCCATACACACACTTTTGTCTGCTCATACTACCACTCAATTTAGCATCGGAGTGCCTTGCAGGTACCCCCATCTCGTTCAACTTTTGCTCGGAATCAGTCGTGACGGTTCAAGTCTGATCAGATAAAATCACTTATATCCTAAGCATTTCTTTCAAACGCATTTCTTTCAAACTCTATAAATATTTTTAAAAAAAATACCTTTGTCTGAAAGTTAACTTGCTAACGCACCTTAAATCATAATGTTAACTTGCTAACGCACCTTAAATCATAATGTCCATATCATTTCAATTAGCAAATTGCCGAAAGAGATTGTCGAGAAGTTTACTTTCCAATACTACTTGCAAAACACCACATATGTATTCTTAGAAAATGTTAAATTTCTTTTAGCTAAATAAGTGTGCCACAAAAACTTCACGTATTCCTACGTAATTAGCTATGGGAATACAAATTTGTAGGAATCAATATAACATTTAGGACACACAACAAAATTTTCAATTGTACATGCAACTATTTTTGTGCAAAACATTCCAATGTCCAGAAGTTATCATTCAAACATATATATTTCATATGTTTTTTTTTTTCCGTATTTTTAAGGAAATTAGTTTTGTCATCCAAAAATAGGTAACGACACAACTCATTGTCTGTTTGCATGTTATTTCTATATAATTATTTATTAAATATATTCAGTAATTTGTACTAAAAAAATAAACAGATCATTGTTGATTAATTAGGGCGCGGCTGAAAAATAACTTCTAAATATGATGAAGTGGCATTTTTGGAATTCCATAAAATTTTGAGGAAACACATAGATTATATTGAGCAAATCCTGATTTAAATCACACCATAATTATAATACGGTGCAGTTGCATAGATTACAAATCATCAATATTGCAGTTGTAACAAATCTATTATGCAATTTAAAAACATGGTCCTATTCCACAAATTTTTATTTTTAGTGTATGTTTGATTTATCTTTGGGAAGAAGAAAAAACAATTCTAGAAGTATATAATTGATTTTAGAATAATTTTGATATGTTTATAGTTTGTTTGGATTAGCGTTTAATCTTTCTTTGTCGCATTCCAATGTATATTTCACTGTGATTTTCTAAAGCTTCAAATACTAATTTTTGATAGACGTGCATGTTTTTAGTTATTTCAAACGTGAAAACAAGTTATTAGTTTTTCTAAAATAGAATTGATTATGTTTCAAAATTGATTCTACTTGAAGATAAAATTTGTAACTTTTGAGTTTCAAAATAATTTTTATAATGAAATTCATTATTCATTTCACTTTTACATAAATGTATCCAAACATAAATCACTTTACATCTAACTCACTTTTAATCATAATCAATTCATTCAGAATCAATTCTCATCACCGCATAACCAAACACATACTTAATCCTCTTTAATAAAATTATGACTAAAATTTAAATGTACAACTTAAAATCAAACTATCACTCGGCAAGTGAACATTATGTATCATAGTTCACTTTCTTTTTATTTAATAAAGATCTAAATATATTATGTCGTGTTACACATATAGATGAGAAAAAGCTTAATATTGATTTATATACGTGGCTTTTTTGTTTTTCTGTTATGAATATTCTTGCGTAAGTAACTGCTAAATGTTAGCTTTAGAATTGTCAGTAAGGATTGTTGTAACTGTATTTTTCTTACCCTTGTATATAAGCTAAAGTTGACTGTATCAGCTAATCAATGAATGAATGCAAAAGCTTATCTTCTTCTTTTCTACTCGTGTTTCTCTTTCTCTGGTTCAACATTCATCTTCACTGAGTGAAGCATGAAATGCAGATTTATCACTTAACGTGGTATCATTCGCTACTTCGATTATCCACGCTTCCCCGAGCTACATGCTGTAATTTGTTCATTCATCTCAGTGAGCTTTCACGTTCGTTCTTCGCGTTCATCGTCCTCCTTCGTAAGGTGCAAGATTCGTGGTGCTGGCAATGGATTTTGAGAATCAGTCCGTGATCAAAATTCAAACGCTCACTCAAGAAACCTTGACGGTGTTCACTTCATCGAAATCTAACAGTTCATTTAGACCAAAAATCTTAATCAAGATGCAAGAAAACAACTATCTACTATGGAATCAACAAGTTGAAGGAGTCTTCCTTGCACAGAAAATGAACAAACTTGTTGTCAACCCACAAATTCCTCAAAAGTTCAAGACTCCTCAAGATCGTCTCTCAGGTGTGTTTTCTAATGAGTATGAATCTTGGATCGCTCAAGATCATACTGTGTTCATATGGCTCTTATCCACCATCTCTGAGTCTGTGCTACCTCACGTTCTTGCGTGTAAACACGCATTTGAAGTTTGGGATAAGATTCACTAGTTTTCCAATGCGCAAATGAAAGCTAGGGTTAGACAATTGCGTGTGGAACTCAAGTCCACAAAGAAAGGAAATAGGTTAATCACATAGTTTATTCTTCATATCAAAGCTACCACAAACTCGCTTCTAGCTGTTGGAGATTCTATCACTGAGCAAGACTAGATTGATGTTATCCTCAAAGGCTTACCTGAAGAATTCAACCCGTTTGTTATGAAAATGTATGGTTATCCCGTACCACCTACCTTGTGTGACATTGAGGCGCTTCTCTATGTGCAGGAGGCGTAGTTAGACAAATTTCGACAAGAACTCGCAGCATCAACAATTGCTGCAAATGTGGCGCACACCAGTCTTGAAGACGCTAGCTCTAGAGGAGCCTATCCAGGTAGTCGTGGTCGCGGAAATAGGTTTAATAGAGGACATGAACGAGGTTCGTGGAAACATGCTCAATAGAGGATATGGACATGGCCGTGGAAGATCCACATCTGGCAATCGTCCCACCTGTAAATTGTGTGGGAAGTATGGCCACTTTGTACCAACTTGCTGGAATAGGTTTGATGAGAATTTTATGCTGCATGAAAGCACCAACAGTCAATCCAATACTGGAGACAACTTTAATCAGAAGCAAGAAAGCACCTCAGATTCTGCAAAAAGCTCGCAAGCAATGGTTATGATGACAACCACTCAAGAGCACTCTCTCCCTTCAGAGCTTGAATCCCAATTCTGGTTTGCAGATTCATGTGCCTCACATCATCTAACTCCCTATGCTCATCTTTTACACACAAAACTGTCGTATGTAGAACCTAACAAAGTTTGTGTTAGAAATGGACAAAATCTTACTATTCAGTCTATTAGATCTATTCACTTCTATCCTAGGGCTAATCCTAATTATAAATTAATTCTTACCAATGTTCTCCATGTGCCTTCCATTACTAAAAATATATTGTCAGTTTCCAAATTTTCTAGTGACAACAATGTTATGTTTGAATTTTTCTCTAACAAGTGTTGTATTATATCACAGGCTTCTAAAAAAGTGATTGTTGAAGAAGTCCTTGATAAGTATGGCCTATAATACTTTCCTCAACTTTCCTTGGATCTTAGCAAGTTTTAGAGTTAATAACAGCCTCGGGAATTCCTTGGGTATTCATAGTTATTTTTCTTCTAATACTTTTGTTCATAAGCAAGGTTCTGATACTACTACTTGTAATATTAGTACACTTTGGCACTATAGGCTAGGACACACAAATTTTGATTCTGTTTCTCATGTACTCAAACTCTATAATATTCCTGGTTTTAATAAACAAAAGGTTAGGTTCTGTACTTCCTACAATCTTGGCAAGGCACATAGACTTCATGCTCCTCTTACCAAAGCTATTTATAATAGTCCCTTTGATATGGTTTATACTGATCTATGGGGCCCTTCCCCTGACCCTTCTAAATATGGCTATAGATGCTATATTGCTTTTGTTGATGGACACTCCAAGTACACCTGGCTATACTTAAATAAAAATCTAAAGCTCTACCTGCTTTAAACTCTTTCACTCTTTTTTTCAAACCCATTTTAATACAACTATTAAAGTTGTGCACTCTGACTTTGGTGGAGAATTTCGACCATTTACTAAATTTCTAGCAGATCTTGGCATAATACATAGGTTAACATGCCCCACCACTTCCCACCAAAATGGTATTGTAGAAAGAAAACATAGGCAAATTATTGAAATAGGCCTCACCTTATTAGCTCATGCCTCCTTGCCTCTATACCTTTAGGATCATAGCTTCTCCACAGCTGCTTATCGAATAAATAGATTACCCACAATTGCTCTAACCAAGTCTAGCTCCCCTTTTCATGCCTTGTATGGAAAACAATCTGACTTCAAGTCTTTAAAAGTTTTTGGTTGTTCTTGTGTTCTTCTACTACGACCTTTCAATAAACACAAATTGCAATCGAGAAGTCAAGAATGCAGATACCTTGGAGTGTCACCTCAGTATAGGGGTTTTAAATGTCTCAACAAGGAGGGTAGAATTTTTATATCCAAGGATGTCAAATTCGATGAGCATCACTTTCCCTACTCAACTATGTTTCGTGCACATCAAAAAGTTGTTCACACAGGCCGAATTAATAGCTTATTTGTACCTACTGCCATTAACTCTTCTTTTTCTCCCATAGTAGGAAACAAATATCTCCTACAAGTCTAGAGGTTTCAAATTCCAGTTGTCAAAGCTTACCTACTACTAATCTCAGCCCTCCTCCTGGTGTCACTCAGGACCTTCACCTTGATACATTATATCTCTCTCCTAATACTTCTCATACATCCAGTCATAGCCCTAAGTTTGTTCTATCTACACATATGCCAACTGGACCCCTGGACCCTGCTTTGACAGTTGACAAGCTTAATAGTACTCCCTCTAGTCCAGAGTCCCCTAAGACACATTATCCTGAGGGTAATGCTCAGGGTAGTACTTTCAGTACTTCTTATAACCCTGAAGGCTATGTCCAAGATAGTACCTATGATACCTCTAATACTCCTTATGCACCGGATGGTAAGAATTTTAATCATGAACAACTTGCATCTAGTTATCCTGAGGGTAATCGGAATGCCCATACATTAACTGATATACAACCTTCTTCTCATGACATACATCCAAACAACCAAGAGCTAAGTCCCTCTTTTAATTCAAATGAACTAATTTTGCCTTCTTGCATTCCCCTACTTGTCTCTTCCAACTCTCCCTCTATTCACTCAAGCAAACCACCTGCAACTCCTCTTGTGAATAACCATCCCATGCTCACAAGAGCTAAGACAGGACACTATAAACCCAAAGCTTTATAGACCACACCGACACTTAACTTACCAGTTCCAAACAGGCCTTGCTTGTCCCTGAATGGTCACAAGCTATGAAAGCAGAGTTTGATGCTTTTCAAGCCAACAAAACTTAGAATATCACTACTCTTCTCTCAGATAGAAAAACAATAAGGTGTAGGTGGGTGTTCAAGGTCAAATATAATAATGATGGTAGCCTGCTTAAGCATAAGGAAAGATTAGTTTCCAAAGGCTTTCACCAAGAGCAAGGCTTTGATTATACTAAGAATTTTTCACCTATTGTGAAATCTACTACCATTAGAGTCATCCTAACTTTAGCTATCACCTACAAGTGGGATATTCAACAAATTGACATAAATAATGCCTTTCTAAATGGCACACTTCATGATGAAGTCTACATGGCTCAACCACCTGGGTTTGTAAGCAAGGACAAACATCTGGTCTGCGAACTAAATAAAGCTATATATGGCCTCAAACAAGCCCCAAGGGCTTGGTATAAGAAATTAACTCAAGCCCTTCTTTATTTTCGATTTACTTATTCTAAATGTGATGATTCTCTCTTTATCTACTGCAAGTCAGGACTATTCATGTATGCTTTAGTATATGTTGATGATAGTCTAATTACTGGATCTAGTTCTGCTCTTATGCATGATGTAATCAATAAACTTCACAATACTTTTACTCTGAAAAAGCTTGGCAGACCTAGTTATTTCTTAGGTATTGAAGTTAAATTCTGCAATAATGGTGCTCTACTTCTCACACAATCTAAATACTTATAAGCTAAGTAAACATGGCTCTAATCTATTCCCTGATGCATAACCGTATAGATCCATTGTGGGAGCTTTACAATATGTTACTTTAACCAGGCCAGATGTAACACCCTCTAAAACCCCGAACATCTTTTCGCAATTATTAAAAGCATAATATCAGAGTACATGTATAATCGAGGATGCTACAATTCTCTTTTAATAAAACAAATTCCTGTCATGCATAATCTTAGTAGTAACTCATACATGTTTACACAGCGGAATAATTTATTTAATAAAACCAAAGTTATAATATTTTCAATCATCAGGGATTAACACCTGGAAAACATCAACATCATATTATAACAAAACATAAGGAAATTAAACGAGTCTGATTAAAACAGCTCGACAAACAAACGTTCCCGGAGTTACAACTATCAGAGCATGACCCGGACAATACTAAAACGAAAGTAAACTAGAACGACAAGCCTTCGCCAAGCACCTGAACGAAGCTCCTCAATCTGAAATATTCAACAGTAAGGGTGAGCATCTCAATTATACATTTGATTATACGTTCATAACAGTCAATTCAGGAAATCATAAGCATCACCCAATAATTAGCATATTTCATAGTTCACAAAACCTTTACAATTCATATACCCATGATACATTACTTTTCATATTTGCAAATACTCATCAAACATCGTCAACCTTTTAGCAATCATACGTGCATACAAACAATCAAATACAACATTGGAAAACTCATCCATTCATGTTATATTCAAGGTAATGCAACACACCCATGCATGTGGTACCACTTTACCGCCCCATTAAATCTCGGGTCACGGATAACTCACCGTTCCATTATATCGCGGACACGGCTACCACCTCAACGTTCCATTAAATCGCGGACACGTATATTGGCCACCATGTTAATTCCACACAATGGGAATTAACAAATGCAACATGATATGCAAGTATGTAACACTCAGCATACTATGAACATCAATCAACATATCATGCACATCAACAACATCAATCATAACAGGATATGAATAGCATGTAATCACTCAGCATACTATTTAAACATCAATCATATCAAGTCATGTCATAAATTCATGCTCGATAGCATTATTCAAAAGCATGGCAGTAAAATCCAAAATCAAGCACTGAAAACAAAGTTCAGAAAAATCAACACAGTAGCCTCAACACGGGTGTCCGTGTTGTGTAACACGGCCCGTGTTGGGCAACACGTCCAGAAACACAATTTTTCCTCATCAATACAGGGACTCAACACGGGTGCCCGTGTTGTGCAACACGGCCCGTGTTGTAACTTATCCAGAAAACACATTTTTCTCATTACAGGGGACCTAACACGGGTACCCGTGTTGTGCAACACGGCCCGTGTTGTGCAACACGGCCCGTGTTGTGCAACCAGAAGCACACCATCTCCCAACACAGAAGAGCAACACGGGTGCCCGTGTTGTGCAACACGGCCCGTGTTGCTGAGCGCGTACAGGATTTTCCTGAACCTGCAGCAGCTCAGAACAGCAGCCAAACGCGGGAAAATGCCGGCTAAACGCGCATTTCAGTACCTAACAACATCGAGTTTGTATAATTCAAAACAACACCTCAATTTCCTAAATTTCAACAATCATTATAGTAACCGTAACCGGGATTAATCGTCCTTTTTAGGGAATTTCTGACAACATTAAGGTTATCCCTAAACCTCTAAGGTAAATTCACGATCATGCAGATATACTCCAAATCCACCATTTGGAACCTAAAATTCCTAATCGATTCATAAAAATTGGGAACCTAACCATTTTCTAACAAGGTTCAATCCTAAGGGTATCGATTCCCACTAACATCTAACAATTGGGGTTTTTTCCTACGATTACCCAAATCAACCGTACATAAACCCATAAACAAAGGTAAATCGAGTAATAGCCCCCCTTACCTTATCAATTAGCAGCTTTGAATTCTTGAGCGATGGTCTTCGTTCTTCGTTCTTCGTACCTTCAGAGCTCTATTTCCCCAAATTCCCAACTTCTGTTTATCGTGAAAAATGAGAAAACTAACTTGAGTTCCAAAACATAACTTTACTTCTTTTGCACCCCCACTCTTTACTAACAACATCCAAGCCCAATAACTTAAAAACTCAGCATTTTCTTATTTCTTTTATTTTCCTCCATATTTCACAATAAATAATTCCTCTTTATTTTATTAATCCTAATAAAATAATTTCCCAAATTTAAATAATTCAAATAATAGAAACTGGGGTGTTACAACTCTCCCCCACTAAAAGAGTTTTCGTCCTCGAAAACATACCTTAGACGAACAGTTCCGGATAAGCCTCTCTCATCTGGCTCTCCAGTTCCCAAGTGATATTTCCATCTGCTGGACCTCCCCAAGCAACCTTCACTAATGCTATCTCTTTACCTCTTAACTGTTTCACTTCCCGATCTTCTATCCTCATAGGCAATGTTTCTACTGTCAGGTTA